GGCCTTTATCTCACAGAGAGCCACCTGCTTCTGCCTCCTGAGTGCTGGGATTATTAAAAGCATGTACCACCACAACCAGCTAACCTTTTCTTCTGTATGAGAGTTTTAGTAGAACTTCTTACAAGGACTTAGTTAATTTCATTCAGGTTATTAAATCTACATGCATAAAGCTATTCATAATATCCCTTTATTATTTTCCCAGTGTTTGAGGGATCAGCAGTGATGGCCCAACCTTCATTTCTGCTATTAAAATTTTATGTATTCTATCTTTTTGTCTTAGTTAACCTGATTGAACTAAGGGTTATCCATTTTATTGGTTTTTCCAAAAAAGCAGCCGCTGGCTTAGTTGACTTTCTCTGTTGAATTCTTGTTTTCAATTTCATTGATTTCTGCTGAAGTTTTAATAAATGTTGTTTTAATAAATGTGACGTTTAACCTGATCACATGCTTTTTTGTGCACCAACCCATTTTTCCAAAATACAATCAGAGATTTGTTCTTCCTGTTAAAAATTGTATACATTGGGCCTTTGGCGGTGAAAGAGATGGGAAGGAAAGAATGGAAACAAAAGCTGTTGAGCCATTTTTCCACTCTGGTTAACTGTGCTTCTTTACAAAATACATTTATGCCAACATTAAAACATCCATATAAAACTGGACCAGTGCTAAAATGATGAAAGTATGAATAAAATAGAGAGAACAGTTGCATCAGAGGCTTTTTCTGTTGAGGGATATTCACTTTCTGTGGTCTAAGAAAGGACATAGACAAAAATAATTTTCAATTAAGCTTTCTGATAAGTGCTGCAGTTTCTATTGTGGATGGAAAATTGAGCTGATGTTTTATAAAGAAAGCTAAAGAATCTATCAGAAACACCATAACCTAAATGGCAGGTTGTCCTTAGCATTGTGCAGAGGTAGGCTGCAGTTCTATCCGGAGATAGGTTGTTCCCTTTCTGTACACATTGGTAACATGACATTCATTTTTATTTTCCTATTACTTATATGTCATCCTACCTTCCCCTCCACCTCCCAAAGACTGAAGGACAATTAAACCTAGGCTATAAGCAAGGTGAAACTTTGAAGGTGAAAAGAGGGGACTACAATGAGGGAAAACCCACGGAAATGCTGTGTTAGGGGGTCTTTCTCTGTTATTGGATGTGGACAGTAACTTATATCTCAGCTTCAGAGGAGTGGAAGGTGAAGTGCCCATTGCTCTGAAAGTGGGGATCCTGAGGCCCCAGCCTGACCAAGCTTGGGGTAGCTTCAGCATCCACATGTTTGCAAGCCTTAGCAACCTAAGCTTAAGGACTCATTCAAAACTGATGCTACCAGTTGACTTCATTTACTTGTTTTCTGATTTCTCTCTTTTCCAGAAGAAAGTTCAAATACTTGAGAAGGAAATCATCAGACTGAATCCATTATTTCTAAATCAGGCCACCTACATCACAGTTGGCTGGCTGTCCTGTCCTGTGTCCGTCTTCCCCAGTAAGACCAGATGTTCAAGCCCTAAGAACAGGTCCAAGGCCTTGCAGCATGCTAGAGATGGGAGGAAAGGGGGTATGAAAGAACAGCTTTCTCCAGAGGCCTGGAGTGCCATCGTTTACTAGTTACACAGTGCCTTCGAAAAACATACCAGTCACCAAGAAACACTTTAGAGAAATTCTTGACAGCCCTCTGGCAATCAGAAAGACAGTGTTCTCTTAACAGTGGCCCCACAGCAGCTGCAGTAATGGTTTTTACCTCATTGCTCCTTGTAATGTCCCTGAGTTCAAGCCAAGCACATGCCAGAGTAAATTTAGTAGAAGTGATCCTATCAGGATATGAGGCAATGGGGTTGTACAAAGCTCTGATGCTTAGGGTTATTTGGAGATATTATTTAAGTGATAGAAAATTTAAATACAGGTAAAATGCAAGCAGTACTTTAAAATGGAAAGTGCAGTGACATTTAATGTATTTATAATGGTGTGTAACCATTCCCTCCCTAATTTCAAAATTTTTATCACTGTGTATGGACCCCCTGTACTCACTTAACGACCACTCACCATTCCTCTTCCCTGAGTCCTCTGGCAACTACAAGTCTGCTTTTTGTGTGTATGTGATTATGTTATGAATGTTTTACATAAAATATCCATTAAGTGACATTTTGTGTCTACTTCTTTCACTTAACTTCTTATTTTTGAAGTTCATTCAGTACTGTATTCCTTTTCATGGCTGAATACTATTCTATTGTATGTATACTTCACAATTTGTTTATCTATTGATGGACCTTTGGGCTGTTTTCACCTTTTGGTTATTATGAATTATGCTGCTGTGTACATTTATAAACAACTATATATTTACATACCTGTATATAAGTACAATGACTATGTTATTTGTAACTAGATTATATAGTAATTCCATTAGTTTATTAAGGAACCAATAAACTTTCCATAGCTCTACCATTTTATATTCCCACTAATAATGTGTGATGGTTTCCATTTTTCAATATTTTCACTAGCAGTTGTTATATGCTTGTATTTTAAATTGTTGTTATTTTATTATGGGCTTTCTGGTAGGTGTGAAGTGGTATTTGTGGTTACCATTTGTGTTTTGTTGTTAACCAGACATTGGTGTTGATCTTTTTTTTTCATATGTTCATTGATTACTTGCATGGCTACTTTGGAGAGGATTCTATTGAGGCCCTTTGCCTATTTTTCAGTTGGGTTGCTTTTTATTGCTGAATTTTAAGAATCCTTTATATATTCTGGACACTAAGCCAGTTCTTAAGATGAAAATTACAAAGCATATAAAGAAATAATAACATATGGCCCACTCAGAGGAAAAGAGGAAATTGACAGAAACAAAAGAAACAATCAGTTGGAATTAATAATGGTTAAAAACTTTAGTCCATCAAGAGCATGTAAAGGTAATGTGTAGAATGGGAGAGAATATTTACAAATCATATGTCTGCCAAGACAGAAGTTTCCTTAGCTGACTTTTATTTTACTCAGCTTCATGATTAATGCAGCCCTCTGTGCTCTCTGCAAGGATCGCTGACCACAGGCTTTGGGGACGCAGGCAGCACAGGTGGCACACAGGTGAGCCTTCCTCAGTTTTCTCTAGTACCGCTTCATGCTCCCCAGCAGGCAGCTGGGCGAGTGTCTGTCCAAGCCTTACTTCATCTTGTAAGTAAATAATGTGGCTAAATATTATATAAACCAATCAAATACAAGAGAAAAAAGATGTTTCTCAGAAAACAAAGTTTAATGTGCTAGAAAATTTCATGAGAACAAGTCAACAAAAATTGCTTTCAAATTGTGTTTGAATGACACAACTACAGGCCACTGTGAAAAGAATCTATAGATTCTCTTCAAGGATTCTGTGTTCTGTTGCCTAGCAAGTGTTGCTAGGGTCTCTATTAACCTACATATAAGTTACTAATCTGTTAAAGGTACCCAAACTGTTAAAAATGAAAAGATATATATATATATATATATTTTGGTCTTTTTGAGACAGAGTCCCCCTGTAGCCCCAGCTGGCCTAGAACTCACTACGTAGACCAGGTTGATCTTGAACTCACAGAGATCCACCTGCCTCTGCCTCCCGAGTGCTGGGATTAAAGGCGTGTGCCACCACGCCTGTCTGAAGAGATGTTTTATGTTAAAAAAAAAAGATGCTAATACCAATCAGCAGATTCTTAACCACAAGCAACTCCTACAGAAGATTAGCAATTGCATGTATGGTCATATGTTGAAATGGAAATAGTCTTTACATAATTTGTATGATGCCATTGAAGATCCAACTTTTTTTTTTTTAATTCATGATTAACTGTCCACTGTGATCATTCTGGGTAAAGAGACTTTTTGCCACATCTATTACTCCAAAGCCTGAGCACCTCACCCCTAAGTCATTAATTTAACGGGCTTTATCTCTTGCAATGGATATTTCTATGCTAGATTTTAGAACTAGCTGACTTCATTGTCATCAGTAAACATGCTCTTTCCCTCTGTCTTTAGTGTATTTTTCTTAGGCTGGTCCCTGCTCTAAATTGCAAAGTGGCTATAGTCGGTCTAGGAGTCGAACACGTTCTAGTCATCCTTTGGTCTCCTTTATAGGAACAGGGATGCTTGCTCCAAGAGCCCCCTTAGCAGACTACCCACATGGTTCATTGTCTAGAAATAGGTCACCTACACCCTTAACCTGTACCTAGCAAGGGCCCACCAGACTTTCACCCTGAAGATAGAGTCAGCCCTGAGTCATGTGATGTAGGATCCATTCCTCAATGAAACCAAATACCACTAACAAGGAATCCAACAGCAAACTGGCTGTTGGAATGACAACCTATACTTATCTGATGACAAAAATCCTTCATGTACTGCAGTCTCTGTTAACTAAGAACTGAGCAGCAGAGGAATTAAGGATATTTTTATGAGTATTTGCAGTTTGTCCATACAATAGCATTGTTCAGGAATATATTCATTGCTTCACAGTGAATAACCTCAGTGAGGGGCAGGTTGCCTTGCCCCTCTGAAAAATTGTATGAAGTCTTGCAATCACACCTGAATAGATGACCACCTACTTCAGCATGAAGGGGTCAGTGGTAATCTGGAGTAGCTGATGATTGTGGTGAGCCAGAGACTTTTACTCTAATCACCACTTAGTAATAGCAGTCCCTTTTCTTTGGGGACTCCTTTCCCATTTCATGTGGTTTTGGAGGGAATAAAATTGTGCTCACCCGTAACCTCCCATTTCCTGACTCTCATTCCTAGTGATGAGAATAGGCATGTGATTTAAACCCAGCTGGCCAGGACCCCTAGCTTCTAGGCTGCAGCAGTGTGTTCAAGGAAGGCATGGGATGCAGTTAGACAGCCAAGAGCTTGCCTGGGACTTTTGTGAGATAATGGGTGAGACATTTATGTTTTTGGAATGAAAGTGCAGGACAAATGATAGCTTGTTTCCTGGGTCATGGAGGGGGTGGGGGTGTTTGTGGAATAGTAGTCAGGGAAGCCTGTAGGCAAGGAGACATGGGTAAACAGATGGTAGGGTGCATGATGGGTGAGAACAAATGAGTTTCCTGACACTACAGTCCAGATTCCAATTTTCTTTTGTTCTATGAGTCACCTCAAATGTCTTCCCAGCTAGATGAGCTAAAATATAAAATGCTTCCTATTTTGCTTATGTGAGTTTGAGTTTGGTTACTGTTGAGTTGAGTTGAGTTTGTAGCTTCCGACATCCTGATTAATCCAGAATGTATCTGAGGATAGATTTGTGATTTCCTTTAGAATATTCAGGTTAATACTTAACTTGCTTCATGAATGATTGGGGCCCCCAGTGGTCCAATCTGAACGGCACACTCATGTTAAGTCTAACCCGGGGTCTTTCCAAAGCTGGTATTAATGATTGCCTATCATGGCCATAGGAGAAATAATCTCAGACAGGGAATGGTTGTTTGTTCCCAATAAATGCTTTAGGATAAGTGAGTTACCATGATTTTTTTCTGAGAGACCTTATGCCACTAGAGTGTGGGAAGATATATGCTGAAAAAATATTGGAGGAGACTTAACAGACTAAGTGCAATAGTTTTAAAAATAGTTGAACTTGAGTTGCTGTTGCTGAGGCTGACTTGGTATCGCTAGCTGCCTCTTTGGGATACTCATCCCATGATGAGTGTGGTTCACGTTTCCCTTTAGAGTCTTTATAGCAAGGACTCACACACTCAGGGGACCTTCCTGTTCTATGCTCAAAGCAAAGTTGAATAGAATACTAATTAATAAGGATGAAGAATAGGAACAGAATTGGCTTTGGCCAATCTGAGGCCCTCTGTGTTCTAAAGTCTCGTGAGGTCTTTTGAACTTATTATTCCCAGGAACACTTGGGGAGAAACACTCAACTAAATGGATTGTGAAAGCAATAAGCATGTCAGAAGAATTCAGCAATTTTTTTTTCCATCTGTGAGATTTCAATAAAGTTAGAACTTGTTTCCTCAAAGACAAATAAGAGACAAGTGCAGAGAACAGAACAGGCCCCGTCCAATTTCAGGACACGAATGTGAAGTTAATGTAGTCAAACAAATGTTTCAATGTAGCAGTCTTTTAAATTCTTTAACTGTTGAAAATGTGGGCTGACACCAACCGTGTAATGACTGTATCAAGACAGGGAAATGACCCTGCTCCCGCACGCCCTGGTGTGCACCCAGTGGGGTGTTCTAGTTGTCCTGGTGTGCTGTGGACTGACAACAAAATTGTATGTTGTTCAAGGGTGTTAGAAATGGACTGGCCACAAATAAACCACTTCTTTCACACTCAGTGGCTAGCACGGAATAATTTGGGTTTCTAAAACTGTAAAGCTGTTTGATAATCTTCTGAGCTCTAAACCATCTGCAAACTAATTTTGTTTGCTTAGAATAAGATATGCAGAGAGTCAGTGATGAGACTTGGAAAGGCACTTTTGATAAAGCAGGACAGATGATGCTATACCCAAGAGAGTAGTAGTCTGCCAAGACTTGGTCAGCAACTTTTATTTAAGGCTATTTTGCCATACGGTTTTCTCAGAAAGCTGAAGATCGGGTCTCAGAGTCCAGCACACACATTAATAAATCATGTTCTTGAACTAAGGGCAGGTGTTACCTGTATTTGGGAGGTAGAATTCAAATGGGGTTGTGGGAAGTGGAAGGAGGGAACTGACCTGGGTGGTGAGTAGGTGGAGAAGGGTGATGTTTTTCGGAAAGGATAGTTAATAAAATATTTACTATGACTGCAAGGCTCTAGTGAGTTTTCTGTGACCTTTGTCAGGAAAGTGGTACTCCACAAATAAAAAAAGACATACTTACATAGAGTGCTGAATTTCAGAGTAGAAACAAAAAATGAAATTAGTTGTATCATACGGGAAGAGCTTTGTAACTGTGACAATAATTTAAAAAAATGTATGTACGAACCAACTTTGTGTGCTGGGGCATAAGACTTCCCATCTTTCCAAAAGAGAAATTAACTGTGACACTCCATTAGCATTTAAGGCAAAAATGAGACAGTGTTGGGCAAGAGTTACTTGATTCTAGCTGCTGTCTCCCCAGAGTAGCGTTGCTTCACTTGGTGAATAGAGCTCTTCTGGTATGCTGGGATAGCTACATCTTTTTGGGGGTGGGGGTGGGGGGTTCAGAAGTTTATTTTAAAAAGCATTATTGCTCTACCATGTAGGCAAAGGGTGATACCAGTACTTTAAAAACAAATAAACAAAAAAAACAAACAATAAACCAATCCATAGTTCTTATTTGTACATCTATTTTTTTTTAAAGGGAAGATAAAAGGGAGGAAAGAGACTAGATATTTAAGAAGACAACTTAAAAAGTTATAGCATACAATGTATTATTTTAAACCTAGATTATTGATTACCTCGTTCCACCCAATTTGTGCATTTATTAGTATTTAATAATTGTTAGGCTGTTCTTGATCCTGAATTCAAGCAGTCAGCCTCTCAAGTATCTGAGACTACAAGCATGTGGCACTATGCCCAGCTTTGATTTTTTTTTTAAAAAGGGGGGCCTTAAGGGAGCAAGGGGGTGCCTATGATTATGTGTTTTTTTATTTATTGCGGAGCTAGAGAAGAAACCCAGGGCTTTGTTTATACTAGGCAAATGCTGAGCTTTGAGCTACACCACCAATCCTGTTATTTATTTAGAAACTTATAATGACCTGTAAGAAAACTCCGCTGTTTCTCTCTTGTGAGTTTAAGAACGCTTTGAGAACTAGTTTTGCCTCTGAGAGATAGAGATATTCACAAGGATAGAGGGGATCTGGGGCTGAAAAGAAAGGTACAGGCTAGTGTTCCCCTGAGAGATCATGTTATATATTATGTAAGCAGAAGGTAACTGTTGCTGCTCTTGGGTGCAGGATTAGTATTGAACTCAAGTTTCTTTCCTGAGGTATTTTGAATCTGAATGATTCAGAGAAAGATGGAATCTAGAAACAAAACCTGAAGAGACTGTTCTGAGGTGAAGACTAGAGGAGGTAGCTAGCATAGAAGACCAAGCGGCCTGGAAGCCCATCAAGACGTGTCAGGGAGGTTGTTCCACGGACATGGAACTAGGGAGATAAAGGTAGGGGTTGTGAAATAAACAACATTGAGTGATTTTAGCTGGGTCGGTGCATCTAAGTAGCTCAGTTTTAATTTGATCTTAGAATATTCCAGGGAGATATAGTACTTTACAAATGAAGAACAGCTTCTTGGGAACTTAATGTCTAGGAAAGATAAAGCAGATACAACTCAGGGGAGAATGTGGGGGGCCTGCCTTCAGGGGAGAATGTGGGGGCCTGCCTTCAGGGGAGAATGTGGGGCCTGCCTTCAGGGGAGAATGTGGGGGCCTGCCTTCAGGGGAGAATGTGGGGCCTGCCTTCAGGGGAGAATGTGGGGGCCTGCCTTCAGGGGAGAATGTGGGGCCTGCCTTCAGGGGAGAATGTGGGGGCCTGCCTTCAGGGGAGAATGTGGGGCCTGCCTTCAGGGGAGAATGTGGGGGCCTGCCTTCAGGGGAGAATGTGGGGCCTGCCTTCAGGGGAGAATGTGGGGGCCTGCCTTCAGGGGAGAATGTGGGGCCTGCCTTCAGGGGAGAATGTGGGGGCCTGGCTTCAGGGGAGAATGTGGGGGCCCTGCCTTCAGGGGAGAATGTGGGGGATTTCCTTCAGGGGAGAATGTGGGGGGCCTGCCTTCAGGGGAGAATGTGGGGGCCTGGCTTCAGGGGAGAATGTGGGGGACCTGCCTTCAGGGGAGAATGTGGGGGATTTCCTTCAGGGGAGAATGTGGGGGGCCTGCCTTCAGGGGAGAATGTGGGGCCTGCCTTCAGGGGAGAATGTGGGGGCCTGCCTTCAGGGGAGAATGTGGGGCCTGCCTTCAGGGGAGAATGTGGGGGCCTACCTTCACGCACAGGCTAGTGACAAGCGTGCTGAGGTCTGACATTGGCCACTGTTGTCTCATTTGGTGGCTCTGGAGTCCTTAGCCTTTTGCCTTGGACCAGAATCTGTCAATCTAGAGGTTCCTCATCAGAACACAGGAACCAATGGTAAGCTACTGTTGCTGTGGCCCCTCAGGCTGGAGCTCTGGGTGAAGGGGAGGATGAGAAAGAACACTTGCATTGTACATGTTCTCTAGGTAAGCACCAGCATGCTACTGACCCACAACCTTTGCTTGAGCCAGAAATTCAGCAACATACTTGGTAGTGACACTTTTTGGAATCAAATTTGACTTCTTTACTCTTGCAAGGCTTAGAATCATGGGCTAACCCCAATCGGTAATCTAGAATTAGAGCCCACCAAGTCCTATAACCAGGTAAGGGCTAGGTCTCAGGATTGGCCTGGGCAACTCAGAGATTGGAAAAGTCTATTTCCCCACCAATCAGTTCTCCGTCTCTCCAGTGAGCTCTCTCTAAAAGCTAGCCATAACTTAGAAGGAGCAGTCCTTCTGAAACATCTCTCCCCAGGCAAACATAGGCCATCCTTGCAGCTTCTCCTCCTTTGGGGTTTGCTGGAAGTCTTCACTGCAGTATGTAGTTAGCATTCGTTGGGAAGGGCGCAAACAGTCTTAGCATAGGGCTAACCTTGTACAAATGAACATGTCATAAACATACTCGAGGAGAGTAAGTGAGCCGGGAAGCAAGCATACTCTTACAGCTGTTGATGTCACTGGAAGCGTTTATTGAACTCTTTACCCTCACGGGGCTCTGAGATGGGGATGGTACAGAATACATTAGTGGATGTGCCTTGTGCCCTTGGAGGCTGTGGGCAGCGTTTGTGAGCTCATTCTTGTGTGATGTGTGGAATTTACCTCTGTTGTCAGTCTCAGCTGACAAATAAGAAAATAGTGGTTGAGGCAAGAATGATGGTGGCCAACAGAGGGCTGGCAAGCAGGCGGACTGCACCCAGGCTCCTCCATCACGACTGTTACTTTCACATAGGACCCCTGGAAACACTTTTCAATACTCCACTTGATTCAGTTACTCCCTGTGCTTTTGTGTACGCAGGTAGAAATACATTTAAAAGATTTCTTTTCCCCATGTTATCTATCTCTGCTAGCAATGTTAAGATGTGGATCAGAAACATCACTTTGGCCAGAGAATAATTTGCCTTTCATTGTAGGGCAGGGACCTTTGGAGAAACCTGGTCTTTTCACTGCAGTGGAAAATGCCATTGAAGCCTGCTTTGTCTCAGACAAGGTTGGAACTGGAAGATGAGCTTTGTTTTCTGTGCTCTGACATACCATCTACTTCCTTTAGCTTCTTTTCATCTCTGGCCTGGGGTCATCCCTGTCATGATTGAAAAAGATATTTTCTTATTTTGAGATAATTTTAGATTTGCAGTAAAGTTGCTGTAATCAGATGGAGAATGTCTTTATATGCTTTATCCAGCTTTGCCTAATGTTAACCTCTTTGTTTTAGGGACCCTGCTGTTCTCAGAGTGCTGGGGAGGACAACATTCCTTCCTCTTAACTTTTAAGGAGCTCCAATTTGGGTGTGGATTTTAGTGACCTAATGCTTTACCTTTTCATGAGAATTTTAAAATTTTTAAATGTTTTTCTGATATTAACAGTAGAGAACTCAAAGGTAGTGAGTTTTAGTGATTAAATTTTAGCCATGACAAAATCCAAGTGAAGGGGGGAATTTTGACTTTAGAGCCCTTGCTTGGGGTCTTGAGACTGCTGTTTATGTATTGATCCTTCTATTTAGCATTTAATGACTGCTCCATAAATGCCAAATACCATGTGACACTGTTTAAGATGGAAGTTTTTCAGGGCTAGAGAAATGGCTCAGTGGTTAAGAGCACTGATCGCTCTGGCAGAGGACCTGGGTTCACTTCCCAGCATCCACATGGTTTCTGACAACCTTCTGTAACTCTAATTCCAGGGGATTTGATGTCCTCTTCTGGCTCCTGCAGGCAATGCATGACACTGGTGAACACTTATATGCAGGCAATACACTCATACGCCTAAAATTTTTTTAAAAGATAGAGGTTTTTCATTTATAAAGCTTCTAATCTAGAGGGGAAGTACACAGTTGCAACATAGTTTGGGAATGTTGTAGTGGAGATAGATACTGTGCTTTGTGGAGACATATGGAAGGAGACCTTGAAACCCTCCCCATAGCACAGTCCTCATTAGGCTGTGCCACCCAAAAGGAACACTCTTTGCAGATGGAAATAACCTGTTCCATTCAGTCCAAACTTACAATTCAGATGGCCTAGGTAAATTCAGAGGACTGTCAGTCATTTGTCATTTGTCATTTTACCAGTAGGTAAATACATTGTTTCTCATGAGTAGAGTTAAAACGGTCATTAAATGTAGTGGTGTGTTGATTATAGTTATCTTCCCAGCACCACCTGCTGTCCCCGTTTACCTGTTTATTTGCTTTTCTCAAGTGATAAAATAACTTTATTTCACAGTTGCCTTTGAAACCTTAAATGACCGTTTCTTCATATAAAAGCATTAATTGTATGGTATACTTCCTAGAAAACAACTATATATAGAACCTCTCAAAGAAACAATGTACCCCATCATATTATTTCAGGAAGTTAATTGGGAAAAAGTGCATATCTGGACTGATTCCTTAAAGATGCCATTCTGCTGCCCTGCTTTGGTTGAAAATAGAGTTGATCGTCATCAGTGTTTGTGTTCTGCATTCTAACATACTTGATAATGCACACAGAGGGGCTGGAGAGATGGCTCAGTGGTTAAGAGCACTGGCTGCTCTTGCAGAGGACCCAGGTTCAATTCCTAGAACCCACATGGCAGCTAATTACTGTCCATAACTCCAGTTCCAGGGAATCTGACACCCTCTTCTGGTCTCTGTGTGCACTGAATGATATAGGTGCACTTACATACATGCAGGCAATACACTCATGCAAATAAATTAAAAATAAATAATAATAATGCACATAGAGACCAATTTGTCACTTGTTTTCCCTTGGTTCATCATCCAGCCTTTTCTGCAGGTGCATCAGTAGGGGTGTGGGCTGTACCTTTCTTTGTGGTCCTTCTGGAAGATTTTCTGGGAATGGGCATATCACCATAGTAGATTGGGAACCTGGCAAATCTGTACTAACAGTTTAATGGATGCATTCCTTGTAGTTAGAGCCTTCTCTGTAGAATATGTCTCTTTTGAATTTAATTTAATTTTATATGTATGAGTGTTTGGCCTACATGTATATTAAGTGAACCCATGTCTTGCAATGCCTGCAGAGGTCAGAAGAGGGCATCAGAGCCTCTGGAACTGGAGTTAAAAAAGGTTGTTAGCCACCATGTACATGCTGGGAACTAAACCTGGGTCCTCTGCAAGAACAGCCAGTACTCTTAACTGCTGAGCCAGCTCTCTAGCCCCAGATATGTCTCTTTTAAGGCAGACAGACCATATTTAATCAGTTCGTTTCATTCCATAAACTCAAACATATGCCTCCCCATGCAAGTATGAGCTGATTGAGACTGAGCTCCAATGTAAACAAAACAGAGCAATGGACACAAAGTAGCAGGTGGACAGGTTTGGAAAATGTAGGACTTTTAACATCATAACCAGTATTAAGTAACCTGACACCATACACATGGTCTCTAGCCAGACATTGGGTCAATATCTGGGTTTTGCTTCCAGTTAAAGATTCAAAATGACACATAGCCAAAACAAAGCTATATGCTTTAAACACTGATGACATAAAATTGCATAATGATCTAATACCAGCAGTAAGTTTGACAATTGAGATAGCAACATGGTTATCAACATGGAGAATTTCTTCTTGATGAGCTGCAAGCTTTGATTGAGCCCCCTTCAATGCAGGCACCTCTGTATGCATTTTTGATTGCAGAACAGTGGTATCTGAACCTTGTTCAACAGATTTTGTTGCATGTTTAATTTTTTGAATCCATGGTGAGGGCTCCAAGCAGTGACATCACCATACTGGTTATGAAACAGTATATGTAAGAACCTGGATGTGACTCTTCTTCTAAGTCTTGTTTCTGTGCATATTTTACTGAGAAACTAAAACATGGTCCTTTTACAGGTGATATTATGTATATATGTATATAGAATTTTACAATAAACCTATACTCAATTTAGAGTCTAATATTATAGACTTGTTTTATTACATGTGTATCAGTTTGTCTATTGTTCTCTTTGTCTATTAATCTATATTAATTTCTTGATGTGTTTCCAAGTAAATTTAAAGATATCATGAACTATCCTTTAAGTACTTCCTGTTAAGTAGAAATTAATACTTGGGTTTTGTGTGTGTGTGTGTGTGTGTGTGTGTGTGTGTGTGTGTGTATACATGCTCACGTGCGCCAGAGGGTTGATGTTGGTTGTCTTCCTCAATCGCTTTCCACCTTATATTTTGAGATAGGCTCTCTTTCTGAACCCAGAGCTCAACCATTCAGCTAACCCAGCTGGCCATCAAGGCCCTGGGGTCCTCCTGTCTCTGTCTCCCCAGTGCTGGAGTTATAGGCACACATTGCCAACTCCACTTTTTTTATGTGAGTGTTGGGGATCTGAACTTAGGTCCTCATGCTTGGGTGGCAAGTACTTGAACAGCCAAGCCATCTCCCCAGCCCTAGAATTAAACATGTGAAACATTTGTAGTTTTTCTTGTTATTCAAAATTTGTATTCAATGAAATGTATGCATCTTAAATGTGTAT